CGAAATGTCGTTGCTAAATAAATTTTTTTAACCCTTCTGGATTCTGAGCTTAACTATTTTGGTCACGAATTTATTCCTGGTATCATGGACGGTTTTTTTTAATTCAATTATAATTCTTCAGTTGTAATCTGTTCTATGGTTGTCACAATATGTGGATTTACGAGCAATAAAATTGATCAAATTACATAAAGAATTTATATATGTTTATGAGGACATATATGTCATATATGTATATGAGGACGCCGTGACTGAAAGACCTTAATATGTTTTGTTCCGTGTGTGATACATTATTAATCCTTTGTCATATATTGACAAGTTTGACACGTGATACTTGCTCTTCGATTATAAATAACCTTACTCGAATTTTTAACCCTTTGCGCTCGAGAGTTTCAAACTTTTGAATTTCCCAATTTTATTGGTTTCATGTTCATGAACTTTCAGATTTTCAAGTTTCTGAATCTCCAAGCTTTTAAATCCCCAAATGTCCACAACCCCAAGTTTCCACATTCACAAATCTCCACATCCGCCGAGTTTGTACATCCTTAAGTCTCCACATCCCCAAATTTCCACATTCCCAACTCTCCACATTTCCAAATCTCCATATCCCCAAATCTCCACATTCCCAATTCTTCACATCTCCAAATCTCCACATCCCCAATTCTCCACATCCCCAAATCTCCACATCCCCAACTCTCCACATTTCCAAATCTCCATATCCCCAAATCTCCACATCTCCAAATCTCCACATCTCCAAATCTCAACATCCCCAAATCTCCACATCCAAATCTCCACATCCCCAAATCTCCACATCCCCAAATCTCCACATCCCCAAATCTCCACATCCCCAAATCTCCACATCCCCAAATCTCCACATCCCCAAATCTCCACATCCCCAAATCTCCACATCCCCAAATCTCCACATCCCCAAATCTCCACATCCCCAAATCTCCACATCCCCAAATCTCCACATCCCCAAATCTCCACATCCCCAAATCTCCACATCCCCAAATCTCCACATCCCCAAATCTCCACATCCCCAAATCTCCACATCCCCAAATCTCCACATCCCCAAATCTCCACATCCCCAAATCTCCACATCCCCAAATTTTCACATCTCCAAATTTCCACATCCCCAAATCTCCACATCCCCAAAATGTCCACATCCCCAAATCTCCACATTCCCAAATCTCCACATCTCCAAATCTCCACATCCCCAAATCTCCACATTCCCAAATCTCCATTCCCTCTTAGGCGCCATTCGATTTAATAAAATAATTTAAAAGAAGCATTATTCAATTAATTCTATAATAGTGCTTATGTGATGTATAAGCATAGTGAAATAGACAATAGTGGAAATTATTAGTAGAGAAATAATAACTTCAAAAGAAGTCATTTAACTTTTTAATTAATATTTTAAAGTTGCTGTTTGCAAACAGTAAAATTATCTTCGAGTGCAAAGGGTTAATTCACCTCAATTTTAAAGTTTAAGTTCGATAATTTATACTACCATGTGTGTTATAATGCAGTTGTTAGTAGTTGTTATTTATTGCAGCTGTGATTAGTTCATTCTGACGCACCTGATTCAGCTATTAAATCAACAATAAGCTATATAATTATAAATGAATGAGTATTAAGTAAATCGTTGTTCCACTGTCCATATGTAATGTGATGTTTCATTGAAAATCATCAAGAGTGTATCAAAAGCTAGCAGCAGAGTTACAGCCGTACAATTGCAAAACCATACAACTGCACTTCAACTAGAATTAATCATACTCGAATTATTAATACACGCCCTTTAATACGCATTTGAAGTCCTGACAAATCAATAATATAATTACAAATAAGTAATAAGTAAATGGCACCCTGATTATCCAACTAAGAAATGAAGTCCATAATTTTAAGTTTCACAGAATGTCCCCAAGAGTGAAAAGCTGAAGGGTTAAAATCGCAAAGAACCATCAAGAAAAAGGCAACCTCTAACACGATTACCAAAAGTTGTTTGATGTCATGATGTAAAAAGAGTGTAACACGTAGGGCAAGGGTTGTGCGCGTTGCAACGCATGAATACGAGATGTGTCGATTCTGTCTCCGTCTGCCACCCTTTAGTTTCACCCTGGCGTTCAGATATTAATGCGTAGGGTCCGGTGTTGAGCAGCGGTTGCAGTGCAACGGCGGTTTATACGAATATTCCATCCCACGGGACATATCCGGTGGGCCGCGGTTGTAACTTGAAGCCTTGGCGAACGAGGAACACAGGGCCGTCGGTCGGCGGCCCCGCGGGCTCTCCGATATTAATACATTCCATTACCGCAGACAATGACCGGCTGAATAGGCCTCCGACTCTTGATGAGCTCCGGGTCGCCCCCGCATTGCATCCAACGGCCTCCTCCGTCGCTCGTCCACGTCACCGTCTAATTTAATACGACGCGAACGAAGGTGCTTAGAATCGCTGATGCGCTCGTTCGCTAACTGGACCAAACGTGCGATGTACTTAGAAGCTGAGATAATGAGGTAATATAGGGAGGAAAAATGGGACAGGGAGACTTTTAGGGATTTTTTGGAAATGTTGAAATTTGGGGAGAGAGTTGAAGACAGTTGAGGAATTTTGGGGGATGGGGGATTGTGGGAGGTTTGAAATTGGGGGTGGTGATGGAATTGAAGGATGGAGATGGGAAGTTGGAAAATTTGGAATTTGGAAATTTGAGAAGTTGGAACATTTGGAATTTGGAAATTTGAGAGATTGGAAATTTGAGAGATTGGAAATTTGAGAATTTGAGAATTTGAGAGTTTGGAAATTTGAGAAGTTGGAAATTTGAGAAGTTGGAAATTCGAGAAGTTGGAAATTTGAGAAGTTGGAAAATTTGGAATTTGGAAATTTGAGAAGTTGGAAATTTGAGAGTTTGGAAATTTAAGAGTTTGGAAATTTGAGAGATTGTAAATTTGAGAATTTGGCAATTTGAGAGTTTGGAAATTTGAGAAGTTGGAAATTTGAGAGTTTGGGAATTTGAGAGTTTGGAAATTTGAGAGATTGGAAATTTGAGAATTTGGGAATTTGAGAATTTGGAAATTTGTTTGGAAATTTGAGAAGTTGGAAATTTGAGAGTTTGGAAATTTGACAGTTTGGAAATTTGAGAGATTGGAAATTTGAGAATTTGGGAATTTGAGAGTTTGGAAATTTGAGAAGTTGGAAAATTTGGAATTTGGGAATTTGGAAATTTGGAAATTTTGAAAATGAGAAAAATGTAAAATAGAAAAATTGAAAAATTGAAAAATTGAAAAATTGAACAATGGAAAAATTGAAAAATTGAAAAATTGAAAAATTGAAAATTTGATGAATAAGAGAATTTGAGAATTAAGAGAACACCCGCCTGTTTATTTAAAGCATTTTTTGCATCTGTTTTAAAAGCAATGCAACAAACGGAGAGTTCCAATTAAAGTATGAAATAATGATGCTCTGAATAATTATAATTATAATGGACTATACCACAGACAGTCGTTTTCACAGTGATAATTAACCCTTGGCCGGCAGAGCTTGGGTTAATTATGACCTAGTACTTATGGAACTTACAGTAGTATTTAGAGTATGGCTACATGAATTTTTCAACGAAAGAGCTTCATACGTTAGTAATTAATATTTAGAATGAAACTGTAATCCTTGGCAAATAATACATTATATTAAACTTGTATCTTCAAACACACATTACAAGATTATATTTAAAGGAAAAATCTGAAATTTGAAAAATTAAGATACAATAACACATAAAATTAAATTTCAAGATCTCACAATTCATAGTTAAATTATAAAATTATAAAATTATAAAATTATAAAATGAAGATGTAATATTCATCAAGATCAAAATTGCTCTTCTAAATTATGTAGATACAATATTATACAAATCTGTGATTACACGGAATTAAATTTATAATACAATTTAATGAATGTCATTATCAAATAAACCTCTTCCCTATATTTTGTATTCCCCATTTTCTTCCGGACAAGATTTCTCCTAATTACACAATAACACGTCTGGCAAACTTCTGTGCAACAGAAAATCACCGTGATCTCCCTAGCAACCGAAATGGCGCCCGGAGCGCAACAACCTTGGCGAAAACCCTCGATCAACCCTCTCTGTTCGCTCGCCATTACGCTAGCAAAGCTCGTCGGAAACTCCTCTCTGCGCGAAATCCATCGTTATAACACGTCGTATTCGTGGCTATACAGGGTGGTCAACACGAAAAATAAATAGAAAATACACAACTAAATATTTCCAAAGGTTGCTTTTTCAAAAAATCGACTTCGATGAATCAACATATTTATACAAGAATTTTCTTACTGGAAGAAAGGTGACAATGTTAATAGTTTCTTTGTTAAATAATCAATAAATTGCTAAGAATTAACATATATAATTATTAATACTAAGAAGATTATTATTTCTTGATGTTTCGTGTGTATGTACATATATGTTGTAAAGTAAGTTCACAGTTATGTACGTTATTCTAAAGAATAATACTATATTTTATTAAAAACCATAAATAAAACTTAATAAATATTGACAGTGTTCTTATAGTAACATTTAAAATTACACTCACATACCAAAATTGCATTCCACTATTAAATCAAAAAGCAACTTGAAATCATCCCTCTTGCATTTAACAACCCCTCGCACTAACCTTCAAATTATCTCCAAACGAATGAAGATACGAAAAAAATTCATTCCACATTTTTTCCTAAGTTTTTGACAGGGAATCAGCTGAGTAAGGTTTCGCCACCCTGTACACAGAGGCTGGCGTGTTAGGTCGTCGTAAAGACACACACGATGCTAGGTCCCGGGGGTTAGCCCGGAGGCCGAGTGGTTTAGCGTGGGTCAGAGTGCCGCGGTTCGATATATCGTTCGATTGCGATTCGATGGCGCATAGCCAGCGCAACAGAAGGCAACCGATAGATACGAATGACGAATGGTATCGAGGGCAGACTATCGAAATGAAAAAGCGTCGCTTACCGTGCTAGCTGTGGACCGACGTTTCCTGTGTCGAAGGTAGAACTGGCCGTGATATCCGCGTCCGGGATCGCGCCGGATTCCATGCCGAGCGGCGCGATGCATTGGGCTGCAACAAACGAAAAAACTCAAAAGGTTAAACAGACAGATTTACATAAAGGTCTGGGCTAAAGGCATAAGCTAACACTAAATCACAGGATCACAACACTTGAGGATATTCTCTCGGTTTCATTTTTTTATCAGTTAACACTAGAAAGACTGAAACTTTGATTCATTTTGACTGCTTTGGGGCAATATAGGTAAAACACATATATATATACCGGAAATGAAGGAGGGGGGAGGTAACTACAATTATTAATAAACGCATTTATATGTTGTACAAAAAGTCACAAAATTCTAAGAAGCTGTGTCATTCTATACACAATTGTTTTTCTAATTGAAATTGAAAAGCAGTCAAAATGACTGCCTTAGGCAATCTAGTGTTAACTTATATCATCGTTTATTAGAACTTCCTTTGGTCTACTGTTTTTTTAAATAATTAATTTAGATGAGTTTACTAATCCGATCATATGTGATCCAACATGTGATCCGATCACCATGGATGTCATATGCTACCTCTGGACGGACCTGATGTCTTTCCTCACCTGTCTCGGTTTTCAGGTATTTTTTAAAAGAAGTATATACCTAAGAAATAACCAGAAGCGTGATATAAATAACGCTACAGTACGAAAAACTCCTGAGTAAATAAAAAATGTATAGTCCAATGTGTCCAATACCCAACGTGTCCAATATCTAACGTGTCTTATCAGAATAGGAAAGGTATCGATACCATTTCGAGCAGATCATAAACGGCTAAATAACCCGCTAAGAGATGGATGCAGCGGATAGAGCCGGTTTACGTTCTTGTATATGACCGGCTCGGAGTCGGGTAGCAAGAGTTAGGATGACGTCGAGGACTACCTCAATGTTTTCGTATCTCGGGTACCGATCAAATTGTTTCATGGGGGAACACGGCAGCGTTACGGGAACGCAGTGTATCCTGCTACCAGGAATGGCCTATCTTGATACAATATTGTCCTCTGACGACAACTCTCCGCGTTATTTACGGTTTTGTTCGCGTCACGCGTCGTTGCGCGGTCCTCGAAGCCTCGAGCGTGCTAGAGAAACGCGAGATTCGCGTTCACGGTGACACCGCCGCCATGCTGCTTTTTAATATATCGATGGCTCGGCTGGAATTACGATTCGAACGGTGCCGAGCTGTATATCGAACTCGCTCTCTGTACATCACCGGCTATCACAGATTTTATCGATAGGGAGAATGTTCGTGTCTGGCGATGAAAGCTGCGCTACTTACGATTTACGATCATCTTTTCATTTCGGAACGTAAGTACTGAGTTGTATTTTATAACGACCGGTTTCATGGCGTTGGCTCGGTTTTAATGGAAAGTTCGTAGAATTATTTGTAGGCTATTGTTAATTAGATGGACATTTATCGGTTATTAATTAGATGGCCTTTATTGTTAGATCATTACGTTATTGTTCGATTAATAGTAGGTTATTGTTAAGCAAATTTTGGAACGCAGATTTCATGTGAATAGGTATTGTAATATAGCAATTATTGTATGTTGATAGAGTACGGTTAGTTTGATCTGTATTGTAAGAGTCAGCCATTTTGTACTACCATTATTTTCATGTAAATTCTATGTTCAAATGAGTAGAAAATAAGAGTCATTTTGTTTTACTTCTACGTCATCAAATTGCGTATAATTTCCTATACGAATATCTGAGGTGGTGATTGCTACAGGAGTCAGCCATCTTGTACCGCTAAGACAAAATGGCTGACTGTTGCAGTAATCAACTTCTAACATATGTACATATCCTACCTATTTATTTTGTACCACTATTATTTTCATGTAAATTCTATGTTCAAATGAGTAGAGAATAAGGGTCATTTTGTTTTACTTCTATGTCATCAAATTGCGTATAATTTGCTATATGAATATCTGAGGTGGTGATTGTTACAGGAGTCAGCCATCTTGTACCGCTAAGACAAAATGGCTGACTGTTACAGTAATCAACTTCTAACACATGTACATATCTTACTTATTCCGTAATAGTTTGAAGGTTGAATATTAATGAAAATAATTATCCAAACCTTTCCTTAATGTTCCAAATACAAAATGGCTGATCTCTACACCTCATAAAGTGAATGTATTAAAATTTCTACTCCTACTCTACGAATAACCTAAAATAAACACTGTCAAACTAACTCTGTTAATAACAGTAAACTAGTAAACTCCCTCTGTTAATAACAGTATAACAGCATGACTATAAACACGAAATAAAAGAGAATCTAAAATTTAGAACCACGTACTGTAATTGTTCCTGTAACGCCAATTTGCACTAAAGTAAAAAAGCAACCGCAGTAAGAGATTAGCACTTGATCGAAAACAAAAGAATTTACGTCGACTATATCGAAAACGCGTTCAATTCTCTTAACATCGCGAGAGAACGTTGTCGATTATCGAGGAATATGAAACGAGACACACCGGGGAGGGTTAGGTGGCTCATGAAGGCAGCATCGACTGCAATTTATGCGTATCGAAGTTCTATTACCGAAGTAAAACGAGGATCGGTAAAATTTGCCGGTGCATCGTTTGCCTGAGCGTAGCTGGCACACGGCGAATAACGATAATGCCTAATGCCGGATATCGAGTGCAGGTGCACCGGAACAACAAGATGGGAGGTTGCAGCTTTGTGCCTCGAGTGGCCAGAGACTCCGCGAGAATTAATGGCGGAGAATTCGAGGTTATAACGGAAGGAATCCTACGTGAAACAGAATGGCCACATGGGTGGGTCATTAATATCGGTAAAAGTTTGTACCGTCTTCGGGGACGTATACTTCTTGGATCCAACACCTTCACCGGCAAGGAAATTTCTATAAATTGCTAATTTTGTCTCCGTTAACGCACCGCGAATTCCCGTGTAATTTGATTAATTGTTCTCGAAAACTGGGTTATCGATTAAACGCGGATGGCTGCACGTTTTCAGAAAAACAGGTATTCGAGTTTTGCTTTTGTTTGGCGCTTTCAAAGGATTCTTAGTGAAAGGTGCATTTCCAAGAGAACGGTTGTTTTCAAATTATTGTGCCACGGAAACTTTTACCTCGCATCTTTGTGTTTATTTTCGCACAATCTTTAACCTACTTCAATCTTTCATATTCACTCGCGTGAACGCAAAAATAACGCTACAGGAATATCGTCTTGAATTATCCGCCTCGCTTGCTCCTCGTAGGGTCGCTATTTATAAATTCCTGTAAACATCGCCGCGAAAGAATTCTTTTGATGCAATCCGATGGTGTCAAACAGGTAATAATTTCTACACGCATATGTTGAACTCTGAAATTGATTGTCGCCTGGAGAAATCTTGAAACCGCTGTTTTTTAACCAGAGGGAGTGCGAGATGTTCAAATTATTTTGTGACTACTTAATGTTTCTTGATATTACGATATTTACTAGTACCTTATAACATTTTATGTCACTTGATGTTCTTATACATACATGTACATATACGTATACATATACATATGCTGTATATACACACGTTAAATATTTAAAGGTGGAATATCGAGATCTTCAATGTCTGCTGTCTGAAGGGTTGAAGTCTTTTGATTCTAAATTAACAATAGATTTACATAACGAGTTTAAATCTTAGATGTCTTTCCAAATTCCCAAACTCCAAATCCCAAATTCCCTAAATTCCCAAAATCCCAAATGTCCAAATCTCCCAAACCGCAAAACCCAAAACCCCAAAACTGCAAAACCCCAGAACTCCAAATTCCCAAAACTCCAAACCCCAAATTCCAAATTCCCAAAATCCCAAATGTCCAAATCTCCTAAACCCCAAAACCCAAAACCCCAAAACCGCAAAACCGCGAAACTCCAAATTCCCAAAACTCCAAACCCCAAATACCAAATTCCCAAATCCCCCAAACTACAAAACCCAAAACCCCAAAATTCCAAACCCCAAATTCCCACACCCCCAAATTTCTACGTCTCCAAATTCCCACACCCCCAAATTTCTACGTCTCCAATTTCTCTCATCCCCAAATTTCCATATCCCCAAATTCCCACATCCCCAAATTCCCACATCCCCAAATCCTCACATCCCCAAATACCCACATCCCCAAATTCCCACACCTCCAAATTTCTACGTCTCCAATTCCTCACATTCCCAAATTCCCACACCCCCAAATTTGTACGTCTCCAATTCCTCACATCCCCAAATTCCCACATCCCCAAATTCCCACATCCCCAAATTCCCACATCCCCAAATTTCTACGTCTCCAAATCCTCACATCCCCAAATTCCCACATCCCCAAATTCCCACACCCCCAAATTCCCACACCCCCAAATTTGTACGTCTCCAATTCCTCACATCCCCAAATTCCAAAATCGCAACCTACCAACTCCCAACCCCCAAAACCCAAAAACCTCATCCCCCACTCCCAAAATGCCTCCAAAACTTTGCCCAACACCACGTAAATAAGTATCGCTCCTAACGGTGCCCCCAAGGTTTGTTATTAAAGGAATCGAAACAGCATCGCAAGAGTTGTCTCAAATATTTGCTTCTTCTAATTGCGATGTAAATCTGGTGGAAACGGTGGAAAGAAGAAGTTTTCCCCGCTACCATTTATCCAGGCGTCAATAGAGCAGAAGTAATTAATGATGTTTTCCCGAGACGGAGTTCGACTCCGAAAGGGGTGGCTCGTTGAAAGAGACGCTGAAAACCGGGCTGACACGACGAGGATGAGCGTCTTTACGCCGGACGTCGCGATCGAACTTAGCAACTTTCCCCGTTTCGAAATCGTTATTTGTGATCGATTTTCGTACACGATATCTGAGCGGTGTCTCGTTAGAACGCGTCAACAAAGGGAACGGATTTTAGCGAAGAACGATCGAAGTTCTGTCGGGGGTTGAGTCGAGAAGTTGGTGCAGGAGGGTTGAGAGAATTTCGAGGGTGTACGCGCGATATATCGAGGCTTCATTAATAATAATAGCACGGCGTGCTTGATTCACCAGACCCTTTGTCTCCTGCGTATAGATTGTTATTGATGCTTACTGGCATGTTTTACTTGGATGATTTATGGTCGGCTTGATCGAAGTTTGTTTTCGACGGGTTGATCAAGGCATTAAGGGAAGAAAAATATGAACACCGTTATGGGAAACATTATCTGAATTTAACGCTACGTTTACGTTCGATTACGAACGGTAGAACGTTGATACAATTGAGCTTCACAGAAGTTAAATTAAATATCTTCATTATTTTTGTAATTTATTGTTATTTGGAATTTGGGGTCTTTGGAATTTTGGGGCTTTCAAAGTTTAGAAATATTTGAATTTCAGAACCTTGAAGTGCATATTACAAACTAAACTTCGGTGAGAGTAAAGAGCATTCCTAGAGCAAGGTAAGAAAGAACTTATGGAAATCCGTAAGAAGCTAATTAAGAAAAAGTATCTCCCTAAACGATCTTAGAACTCGATTAACTCCCCATTAGTCGGATTCAGCGCAGAGTGACACACACTCTGAATAAAATTCTCGTTGAATTCCGTTGAAAAGATGGAAAGGTCTAATGAAAGATAATGTCGGCTACAGAAGTCAGCGTACAGAAGTAGTATCGTTCCATCGGTAAGCTTCCAAAGCTCCGCCATCAGTAAATTACACGAAACAAGTTCTAATTGGCCGGTTGAAATCTCCTCGACATTCGTTTCTTTCATCGTACGAAATAATCGCTGTTGCTTCCCAAAATCTCGCGATGTTTTATCCAGCAACAGGTTCATAAATTTGGTGTCTCGTGAAAACGCGATAAGCAATAAAGTGAAGATATTTTTGAACACAGCAACTTTTAAACTGAAGATATTTTTTAATACAGAAATTTCTACAAGTCTCGTGAACTGTAGATTAATTTCGTTAATTAATGTAACTAATTTTAGGCTTTCATCACAAGATTTTGATTGTATTAATTTGTGTATCAGCAGTGACAAACAAGTTATGTTAACGTATGGATGTCGTACGAATCGTTTATTAGGGATTGAAACGTCGATCGTTTACAGAGGTGTCCAAACAATTTCGATACTTGGTACGAGTGAACTCGTTAGAACGAAAAGTATGGCTGACGCAGACAAATCGTTCGACGAAACTAACTGGCGATGCTGACTAAGCCACTCCGACATGCAAATCGATGCACATCGGTTTTTCGTACGGTAACATGATCGACCAGATCGATGAGAGCAGCTTGCGAGACGTCAACCGCAGAAAATTTACTTGGACATTAATTGACCCATTAAATATCAGCGTCCTCGATCGACGACAGCTAAGACGATTTTCTGCCTTTATCCGATAAAGGACGCCTTCTTCTGCACTTTGAATAATTTCTATGTACTTTAAACAGCGTTCTTCCGTGATTAAAATATGGAGAATTTCGGTTGCAGTATAATTTATGTTGATGTTGTAAATTGCGTGAGTGGAGTATTTAATATTTTTTCATAGTTCAATGAAGTTTACAGGTCACAATTAGTAGGAAATGGTAGCTGACGTGATACTGAATAAGATTTCCCTTTGCAAAAATGGGGATTGAAGCTTCGTTTATGAATTACCAAGGAAAAACAAAGACTAATCAGAGCGCGAGGATAACGCGTGTGCAGACGCGAGAGCTACAGCTTCGGATAACGCGTAGTTATCCAACGCGTAGTAATGCAACGTGTGGAGATGCAACGCGTGGTAATCCTACGCGTAGTAATCCAATACGTAGTAATCCAACGCTTACTAATCCAGCGTGTGGATATCCAACGCGTAGTAATCCAATGCGTAATAATGCAACGCGTGGTAATGCAATGCGTGGTAATTCTACGCGTAGTAGTCCAATGCGTAGTAATCCAACGCGTACTAATCCAGCGTGTGGATATCCAACGCGTAGTAATCTAGCGCGTGCATATTCTACGCGTAGTAATCCAACGCGTAATAATGCAACGCGTGGTAATGCAATGCATGGTAATCCTACGCGTAGTAATCCAACGCGTACTAATCCAGCGTGTGGATATCCAACGCGTAGTAATCTAGCGCGCGCATATTCTACGCGTAGTAATCCAACGCGTAATAATGCAACGCGTGGTAATTCTAAGCTTAGGAATCTAATGCGTGGTAATCTAACGCGTAGTAATCCAGCATGTGGATATCCAACGCGTAGTAATCAAGCGCGTGGATATTCGACGCGTAGTAGTCCAACGCGTAATAATCCTCGCTCTCTGATTAGTTCCGTGTTTTTCCTTAATAATTCAAAAACGAAGCTTCAAACCCCATTTTTGCAATGGGAAATCTTATTCAGAATCACGTCAAAATTTTTCAACAGAAAATTGATCTTAAAGGTCAGTATAATTCGATAAAATTTACAGAACCTTCAACCCCACACTTTCCATCGATTTCCCCAAAAGTTCCGCCTAACCAATTTGTATGAAACAAAATCATACAAAGGTTCGTTCAGTACTCTCCCTCGTGGCGAGTGCTGTTTAAATACAACTTCTGGCAGAAAGTTGGCGATTCGAAGAGGGACGGTGGGGTTGGTACACGATCGTACGAAGGGAACTTTTCCATACACGCGGCCAAAGTCGATTCCAGATCGAAAGTTCGTTGACTGCGGTCAAGCGGCACTCGCCACGTGTATCACATCGGAGCAGCGAAGCTCGTTAATAACTTATAGACGAACATTCGCGATAAAAAAACAGGGGGAGAAAAAAAACTATAAAGCTACCGTCAGATTACAGCTTGTACGGCTATAACTTAACTTGGCTTTAGATGCGCACGTATATGTGAACTCGGCGATTTATAAATTGCAGGGGGAACATTTTCAAATTGTTAGGTTTCTACTTTTTTACGGTTTCATACTTTTTTAGTTACTTTGTAAAATTTTTTTAGTTGTAATAGAGATACTAACATTTTCATATTAATGAATTCTCTAAATTCCTACGTCCCCAAATTTTTACGTTTCGAAATTCCTACTTCCTCATATTACTACGTCACCAATTTGTTACGTCTTCCAATTCGCCACGCACCCAATTTACCACGTCTCCAATTTGCCATGCTCTCAAATTTCTACGCCTCCAAAGTTTCTACGTCTCCAAATTCCTACATTCCCAAATTGCTACGTCTCCAATTTGTTACGCCTCCAATTCGCCACGCCCCCAATTTACCACGCCTCCAATTTATCACGCCTTCAATTTGCCACGCCTCCAATTTGTCATGCCCCCAATTTACCACATCTCCAATTTGCCACGCTCCCAAATTTCTACGCCTCCAAAATTTCTACGCCTCCAAAATTTCTACGATCACCAAATTTCTACGTCTTCAAATTCCTACATCCCTAAATTGCTACGTCTCCAACTTGTTACGCCTCCAATTCGCCACGCCCCCAATTTACCACGCCTCCAATTTGCCACGCCTCCAATTTGTCATGCCCCCAATTTACCACGTCTCCAATTTGCCACGCTCCCAAATTTCTACGCATCCAAAATTTCTACGTTTACCAAATTTCTACGTCTCCAAATTCCTACATCCCCAAATTGCTACGTCTCCAACTTGTTACGCCTTCAATTCGCCACGCTCCCAAATTCCTACGTCCCAAAAATTCCTACGTCCCCAAATTCCTACGTCCCCAAATTCCATCTTCAAATCCGCAAACTTCCACATCCCTAAATCCCCAAATCGTACAATTCCCAAATTCTCACCCTCATTCCACAATAATCAAATCTCAAAAAATCTACAAATATCACCTAATAATATCCTTGATAATAATTATCCTTGATTATTCTTGATTATCCTTGATTGCAACATTATGTGAAAGTGAAATTTGGATCTGGCTGTACTCACAGAGGTCTACGGCGCTCGTCGTGCCGCCCAGTGCGAGAAAAAGCACAAGATGGTGGTAGGCAGGTATTGCCCGCCTGGCGAAGAAACCGAAGCTTTTCACCATGGCTCTCGTCTCGCGCGAGGGCTTCACCCTCGCCCTTTTCTCACCGTGACTCTGCCCGTGCCATTTCTGCCTCGTCAACCTGCAACAAAAAATGAACAAAACGCGACCGTTATGACGTGGTTAACGATAGCCCCGGGAGTTGAACGATGACGATGCTTTTCGAGAGAGTTGTGCCGGTAAGGTGGGTTCGATGACTTCGTTAGGACGAAACTTAAGGGGAAGCTATTGTAGGGTACAATGTTTACGGTACTTCGACGATCGATTACATCTTCACCGAGATTTTTTAACTTTCGAAAGTTACAATTTTTGAGATTCGGTACTTTAACAATATTGTGGTTTTTATCTTTTGGGGAGGTATTGTGGAGTGTGATACGTGGTTTAAGTGGTTGGTGTGCAGATTGTAGGTTTGTACGAGAACTCGTAATTGACATACATCGAATATTGGCAAAATGATCAAATTTTATTTTAGTATGTTAGATAAATACAGTACTCAAAATAATTATTGAGGGAACAGAATTCCTGAAATTGTGTGTGTATGATTTAGGTAATTGTAACGCTGATAGAGCCTTAATAACGTATAATAGAAAACGTCAATGTCTATACTTGCAGCCATCGATTTAATAGAAACTAAACTCACACAGACGTGACATTTGTGACGAAATTAATTAACACGTAATATGGAAAGCGTTAAATGTCGCAGGTCTGTAGACGGGGGTGTGCATGCCGATCGACCATTTGCAATAACTTTCTCCAAAATGGAGTAGAGAAACCAGTATGGCCACGATTTCTCGCGTCGTTTACCGTTCACCAATCACGCGACACTCATCTCGACACACTGTGTACACTCGAATGCAAGGTTTTCTTCATCTTAACATTTTTTTCATTTCTGAATTCAATTTTTGAAATCTCAATTTTTCAATTTTTCAATTTTTCAATTATTCAATTATTCAACTTTTCAATTTTGTAAATTTCTCAAAATCTCTAGGTTCCAAAATCCCTAGGTCCCAAAATCCCAAGATTCCAAATTCCCTAGATCCCAAAATTCCATAGACCTCACAATTCCCTAGATCCCAAAATTCCATAAACCCTCAAATTTCCTAGATCCCAAAGTTCCATAGACCCTAAAATTCCTTAGATCCCAAGGCTCCATAGATCTCAAAATTCCCTAGATCCCCAAATCTCTCAATCTCGAAATCCCTAGATCCCCGAATCACTAAATCCCTGAATCTCTAGATCCTCACATCCCTAGTCTCCCGAATTCCTAGTCCCCCGAATCCCTAGATCCCCGAATCCCTAGATCTTCCAATCCCTAGATCCCAAACTCCCTAGTCTCCCGAATCCCTAGATCCCCGAATCACTAAATCTCTGAATCTCTAGATCCCCACATCCCTAGTCTCCCGAATTCCTAGTCTCCCGAATCCCTAGATCCCCAAATCCCTAGATCCCCGAATCCCTAGATCCTCCAATCCCTAGATCCCAAACTCCCTAGTCTCCCAAATTCCTAGATCACAACATTCCCAAATTTCAATCCCTCAATCTTCAGATTTCCAAAAATCCCCAAAAAGCCAACGAACTAGCAATCACCATCCCCAAATTTTCATATTCCCAAAAATCCCTAAAATATAATTGAATTACAAGTCCACTCCTCCTCCCTCGCTACATTCTCCCCAAGGAAGCCGTATTTGCTGTTGACTGTACCACGACAGGTGGCACGGGAAAGCGAAAGTTGGAATAATTAATTCACGATCGCTCGCAACCGTGCGAGAGATAGCTATAGCTACGCAGATTTATCGGTAGCGACGATACACAATGGTTTGCCACGACTCGCGTAACACGTCAGACATTTCGCGAGACGCGTGTCCCTCCGCCTACGACAAACGCTCTCTGTTCGCCTAAGGGGATGACAACCGCGTTGCTCGTAAGAAAGGCGCGATCCCCGTGTCTGGACTTTGATGGAGTACGCGGCGGTAATTGCGCCGGAAGTGAATAAGTAATGGCGAACGGTAGTAAGAAGTCGCTCGGTCGTAGGCCTCGCGTGCTAGCATTAAACATACATGCGACGACTTGTGCTCTCCACACGAAGGATCCATATTTTGGTACCTGTATATGTTGTTTATTATGGAGTTACTGTACTGGGGTACTTCAATGTTTTATTGGGTACTTTTATTTTTAGGGGAGTTGTCAAATAGTTTAGGGTGTTATGGTTTCAGTAGTTATTGGCAGTTGTTAGGGTACTTAGGAGCTGAGTAGCTTACCTAAGTAGCTTAGTAGCTAAGTAATTAAGCAGCTTCATTTAGTAGCTTAGTAGCTAAGTAGCTTAACAGCTAATAGCTAAGTAGCTTAACATAGTAGTTTAGTAGTTTAATAGCTAAGTAGTTAAGTAGCTAAGTAGCTTAGTGGTTAAGTAATTAAGGAGCTTCATTTAGTAGCTTAGTAGCTAAGTAGCTTAACATAGCAGCTTAGTAGCTTAATAGCTAAGTAGCTAAGTAGCTTAACATAGTAGCATAGTAGCTTAATAGCTTAATAGCTATGTAGCTAAGCAGCTTAGCTTAGTAGCTTAATAGCTAAATGACTAAGTAGCTTAACATAGTAGCTTAATAGCTTAATAGCTATGTAGCTAAGCAGCTTAGCTTAGTAGCTTAATAGCTAAATGACTAAGTAGCTTAACATAGTAGCTTAATAGCTTAATAGCTATGTAGCTAAGCAGCTTAGCTTAGTAGCTTAATAGCTAAATGACTAAGTAGCTTAACATAGTAGCTTAATAGCTTAATAGCTATGTAGCTAAGCAGCTTAGCTTAGTAGCTTAATAGCTAAATGACTAAGTAGCTTAACATAGTAGCTTAATAGCTTAATAGCTATGTAGCTAAGCAGCTTAGCTTAGTAGCTTAATAGCTAAATGACTAAGTAGCTTAACATAGTAGCTTAATAGCTTAATAGCTATGTAGCTAAGCAGCTTAGCTTAGTAGCTTAATAGCTAAATGACTAAGTAGCTTAACATAGTAGCTTAGTAGCTTAATAGCTAAGTAGCTAAGTAGCTAAGTAGCTTAACATAGTAGCTTAATAGCTTAATAGCTATGTAGCTAAGCAGCTTAGCTTAGTAGCTTAATAGCTAAATGACTAAGTAGCTTAACATAGTAGCTTAATAGCTTAATAGCTATGTAGCTAAGCAGCTTAGCTTAGTAGCTTAATAGCTAAATGACTAAGTAGCTTAACATAGTAGCTTAATAGCTTAATAGCTATGTAGCTAAGCAGCTTAGCTTAGTAGCTTAATAGCTAAATGACTAAGTAGCTTAACATAGTAGCTTAATAGCTTAATAGCTATGTAGCTAAGCAGCTTAGCTTAGTAGCTTAATAGCTAAATGACTAAGTAGCTTAACATAGTAGCTTAATAGCTTAATAGCTATGTAGCTAAGCAGCTTAGCTTAGTAGCTTAATAGCTAAATGACTAAGTAGCTTAACATAGTAGCTTAATAGCTTAATAGCTATGTAGCTAAGCAGCTTAGCTTAGTAGCTTAATAGCTAAATGACTAAGTAGCTTAACATAGTAGCTTAATAGCTTAATAGCTATGTAGCTAAGCAGCTTAGCTTAGTAGCTTAATAGCTAAATGACTAAGTAGCTTAACATAGTAGCTTAGTAGCTTAATAGCTAAGTAGCTAAGTAGCTAAGTAGCTTAACATAGTAGCTTAGTAGCTTAATAGCTAAGTAGCTAAGTAGTTAAGTAGCTTAATATAGTAGCTTAGTAGCTAAGTAACTTAGTAGCTAAGTAACTTAGTAGCTAAGTAACTTAGTAGCTAAGTAGCTAAGTAGCTTAATAGCTAAATGGCTAAGTAGCTTAACATACTAGCTTAGTATCTTAATAACTAAGTAGCAAAGTAGCTTAGCTTGGCAGCTTATTAGCTTAGCAGTTATGTAGTAACCTAGCAGTCACTTAGAGTAGTTACGTAGGCAGTACCTTAACAGGTATTCATAGAGTATACTGTATTCATATGTATGTGATGTACTTCAAAGTTAAATGTACCGATATAACTTTGACATAACCCAGTTGAATGTTTATTAGATATATGACACATGAGTCTAATTTAACTTTCATCATTTACCACAGATATTAATGAGTCGCAAACTTAGTTACACTTGTCTACCTATCCTTGATATCACATGTATGGAATGCATTGAAATGGCGAGTCTTACACATGTCATTTCAAACTAGTCATTTTAATAAATAACTAATTGTTAAGAAGCTTTTGTCAAAGTATATGGACTAGTTCATTATCATCAACAGCTAGGTGGTCATACTTAGGCTAGTTTATCATCATCAACTATGTGGTCATACAGACTAGTTTATCACAAACTATGTGGTCATACAGACTAGTTTATCATAAACTATGTAGTCATACAGACTAGTTTATCATAAACTATGTGGTTATACAGACTAGTTTATCATTATCATCCACTATGTGGTTACACAGACTAGTTTATCATCATCATCAACTATGTGGTGATACAGTAATTTATATTAGTTGTCATCTTCGTCTACTTCTTTGCTTTAGTTTCACCTCAAACCCAAGTAGTCTAATGTCCATAAATATAGCGATTGCATATAATGAACAACAGTACCACCTTGCAAAACCTATCACGATCCTTCAAATCAGAAAAACAACCTCAAAATTTAAATCCCCAAATTGAAACATCTCCACGAAACTCCGACTGCAACATCCCTTGTTGTCCTAAACGCAATCCAATCCCCGCTCCATAAATCTAGCTGCATCGATTATCTTGTGTCGTGTAGATGAAAAGAAAACAATCGGCGAATAATTTGGTTATTGGATCGAAGTGACGGGAAATTGATTGGAAAACGTTCGGTACGTCTGGCGCCGCGATAAGAGGATCTCTCTTTCTCGAGCGTGAACGATGAGCGAAAGAAATTTGCATAGCGTCGAATTCTCTTGGAAAAAGAATCCACCGCGCGGTCAAGCGTCGTCTCTTCCTTTGATAACACGCTAGCTCGGAACGAATTTCATCGTTTCCGCTCGCGAAAGTCCTCGCTGCTCGTAGAAACTTCGTATCCAGCCTGTTACAGA